TATATATATATATATATATATATATATATATATATATATATATATATATATATATATATATATATATATATAACTAGTCGATTCAATAAATTATATAGTTGTTCTGATGAGTTACACACACACACACAACACATACACACACCAGAGTAACTATATAATTCGTTGAATCAACTAAACATTTGCTTGAATGAATTTTGTTCAAGCAAAGTTTCATTAAATCAACTACTTTTTTCTCAGTGTACGTAAACATTTTCCGAAATGAGTAGACAACACCTTCCTCCCAAAAACTTTTTCTGTTCTTCACAGTATTTTTACGTACGCAGAATCGAATTTGATTTTATCACAACAATTAAATATTTTCCGAAATAATAACTCGTCAATACCTTCCTCCTCTCGAAAATCCCTTCTGCTCTTCACGATATTTTATACGAGTCAAAGTTGATTTTATCACGGCGATTACGCAAATATTTCCCGAAATGAGTTGATAATGCGTTTCCCTTCACTAGAGAACCTTTTCATCCTCTTTACAGAATTTTTACATATGCCGCATTTGATCTTATCACGACGGTTAGGTAAACACACATTCCTCATCTCGAGATCTCCTTTTCCTCTTCGCGGAATTTTCACGTACGCAGAATCGAATATGATTTTATCACGGCGATTACGTAAATACTTTTCGAAATGAGCCGACAATACGTTTCGCCTCCGCCCTTCGAATTCCCTTCTCCCTGTTCATTAGCATAGGACGACGGGCGCGCATTTAATGCGCGTTTCCACAGCGGAAACTATCCATCATTTAAAATCCAGATTTGACAGGTGGGATTCGAAGGCCGGGCCACCCACCCGGATGGCGGTAATGCCCGACCTCTTATCCCGCCGAGTACTCATCCCTCCGAGGGGATATTATCAGAAACAATCTTGGCGTACAATGGTCTCACGCTTGCCGCTCGTCCGTTACCTCCTAAGCAAGTGGCGCTGCAGGAGGTGTATCCAGCTTCCTTCCACGAGTACGTCGTCTGCACGTCGCTCCCCGGAGCGACCTTGATACCGCTGTCGTAGCCGCTTCCGCCGGAACTACCCAGCGATGATCTATACGACGAGCCCATCAGACTCGACTCGGAGTACCCGCCGTCGTCGACCGTGTCAATCCGGAAGGGCAGGCTGTTTTCCAGGAGGCCGCACGGCCGCATCGTGCACTTCTCCGTCTCGACGGGCTTCGGGCCCAAGCATTGTTTGTCCGGCAGCATGGCGATGGTTTGGCTGAACTCGAGGAATATCTTGCAGTGCACCTCCCTGTGCCTGACACCCTCGCCGCAAGAGACGCTGCAGGACGACCACTCCTCGGCGATGAACCTGAAACGTCGTCGTTGTCGTCGTGGTCGTCGTCGTCGTTACCGCGATTGATCTCGCGAATTTCGCGTTGGCGAGATTATAAGGCGGTGGGGCGCATCCGGCCGGAAACTCCGGTAACTGGATTTTGGGTCATGAAGGGATGAAAAGTGCGATGGGCGCTCAAGATTTCGTCGTCCATTCTCGGTAGGTGCACTTAAGAGCAGAGGAGAGAATTGGGGGGACGGGAAGGGGGGCGTACAAATGATATGCTGTGAATGCGCAGAAGTAAGAAAAAAAGAGTCGAATTCTCGGTATAAGAAAAGATGATCTCCGAATTCGGTGGAGACTCTTGCGAAACCACGTGTGTCTCCGTACAGAAAATTACATGCTGCATTCAAGTACATCTCATTCATTTCACGTATTTCATAAGCTTATATATCTGTAAATCTGTCATGAATTCTCGTCATAAGCATGAAATTTGTTCAAAGTACGTTTTGAATCCTAGCAGGTTTAACATTTTGGTCAAGAATATTAAATTAAAACAAAAATTCTGTTTGCTTATTATATACACGGAGACAAAAATACTTGACCATTTATTTGTGAGATATAAAGTGAGTTTATTCGCAAAACTGTATCTTACAGAAATCAACTTCATATCCCGCAAATAAGTTTTCAAGCATTTCTTCTCAGTGTAGATTCGAACCAACTTTCTCTTCGACAAAGTTTTATAATATTCTTGTAGAGAGAAGAATGCAATTTTTCTTTGTACACATAATAATGAACTTTTCTTAAATTTGCGATGAACATATTTTAAGATCACTCTATCAAGAAAATATTCTTTGCTGGAGTTAAACCATTATTTAAAGGAAGAAAGGTAAATAATTGCTTCTCTTAGCAGCAGGATGACATTTCTCTGTGTTGTAACGGAAATAAATACACGATAAAATATTTATCGTAAAGCTGGTCTGTATCAGCCGCGACGATTTACGGTGTCACAGCTCGAGAAAGAAAGAATAAATATTTTCTTGTTACCTCATTATCAAATTTATATTATCAGACATGTGTATTCGCGAGAGAATAATGGAATGAAGAGGCGCAAATGTATCGCATCGACCATAATTCTCGCAAAGCTACCTGGTTTCAGTTGGATTAAACGAAATATTCGAATGCACGTTAATTCTTTTATCGTCCAAGTACTTTGTGCCACAGTGATAATAACATTTATGTGCGCGCGAATATAATTAAAATTATTTTAACATCATCATTAAATCAACGTTGAGATTTAATTAATAAAACTCGTGCCTCTCTCCCTTGCATTACACGCCTTCATTTATTCACCGAATGTTTTCAATGGTCGATGAAATTAAACGAATATCGTTTGACGTCTGTTGTTTCAGTATGTAATATGCACCTTCCATTTATTGCTATTGTATATTCCATACAGTTCAATCGAATCACTGATTCGCGGGTTGATAGTTTTCCATGTCAATAAATAATTCGCCAATCACAAATCGACTCGATTTTTTATCTATTTTACCGACAACAGAAAAACAAAAAAAAAAGGATAACAAAATAACAGAGAAATGTGACTCCCACTTTATTCCGTTAATATATTATATTACGTAAACGTTTTTTCTTTTTGGATAAATTCCGAGATATAAAAACATGTGCTTTTCTTCCTTTACTTTATATCAATTTATATCTGTCACAAGTTTTACGCGAAATTCACTTTATAATGCATCCTCCTCGTAACAAAGCGAGGTAAAAGATTCCTTAAGATAAAACGAATTCGAAATTATCTGTGCGTTGAGAGCAATGAGCGAATTTTTTTGCGCTCATTTATTCTGGTAATCGGAATTGATTTTTGATGCATGACAATTCGTTTCGATAACGGAAGAGTAGAACGCCACGTACTAAAACGGCGGAAGGAAATTGTCAGATAATACCTTACATAGAGAAAGTTGTAAACGCTGACTGAGAATCTATGTCCAGCGTCTTATGGAATTTCTCTACGGTGGTAATGGCTGTTCCAAAGCTCCCGCGCCATTGTTCTCGAATTGCGATCGATGTTACATATCCCGCGAGGATTATAGCGAAACGGAAAGTTCACAGGAACCGGGAACTTGATGAATTAATCGTTTGGCGATCGTTTCACGGACTGCCGAAATTGGATTTTAAATTAGATCAAACAAGACAGTTATTTGCCTTTTTCCGCGTTTCTCCAAAGATTTGGCGCGAGGAAAAAAATAAGATTCGCTTCACTCTTGTTTGTGTTCAACCGAGGTGGATTCACGGTACGCTCTCATCTTCAGCTTGGAACGCCGCGGATTGAGTTATTCCGGCCGATTTTATCATCGAAACACTCGGCTCTGAATTTATTTCCTAAGAGAGGAAATGTATACAGACCGAGTCACATAAAGATTCTAAAATATCTCTGTTGTTTCTTATATTAGAGAGAAATGCGTAAGGAATAAATTGAAGAGATAAATATTGTGGTCAGACATTTCTTCCAACTATATAATTTATTCTTATACACATTTTTCTCTAATATAATAAGTTATACACACAGTTATATACATTTTTCTTTAATATAATAAGAAAAATAGAAATATTTTAGAATTTAATTCTAAGTAATTGAATACGATAATTTTGGAACAATTCATGACAGATCATATAGTTGTGACATCCTCTTTAGCTATCTGTTAGTAATTCACGAATCCGAGGAGAATAATCTCTGGTAGAAATGAATGTAGTTTACGCAAACATTGTTCTAATTACTTTCTAATATTAATACATTTTAATTGTAAAAAATTGCGTAGGTATTAAACAAGAACTTGGTAAAGTTTTATTTAGTAGTTCAAGCAGTTTACCGTAAAATATGTGGACCGATTTTTTCCAAGACATCAATAGTATTAATTCAGTTTTATAATATGCACGTACTATAATGTTTATCGTGAATAAATTTAAAACACATTTATTTATATTGTTAGAAAAGAATTTGAAATTGCATGTCACCAATGAGTGAACGTATAGAAAAGCATAAAGCAAGAAAAAGGAAATTCGAGGAAATAAGGTATTCGTTAATTTTAAGTGCTGTGGTAGAAATAATAATCAATGTTAGAAATAAAAGTAAACAAAATACAGAAATGCAGAAATATGTAGATAATACAGAATTGCGATGGAAACATCAGACTATTCTGATGATAATGATACAAATGGAAACTGTTATGATAATGATACAAATGGAAACTGTTATGATGCTCAGACTCAGAACCTGATAAAATAATACAACTACAAGAATGAATAAAAGGATGTATATGATGGTTGCGAACGATGTCACGTAAAAGGCGAGAAGCATGAAAATATATATTATGTACTAGAAATTTATTGTGCTACAACTTTAATTAGTATTAACATTTCTCAATTAAAAAATATGCACGAAAAATGAAATGTTATTAGGGCAAATCTGCCCATTTTATGAGCAGCAGACTATCAATTGCATAGTTTCTTGTTAATTTTCTTTTGTTTTCGTTCAGTGAATAAGTTCAGATTTTGCGTATCTTTTGTGGTAACTGCAGGAAAAATAACGTCTTGATTGGGGTCTCAAGTAGTTTAATTTATCAGTTGCTACACAAAAGTTAAGATAATTGTCTAGTGAAGTAAAAGTACATAAAATATATATGCATATATATATATATATATATATTATATATATATATATTTTGAGTTTAAAAACTCAAATGTTCGTATTTAAAACCAATAAAAATGGCCAGGATTAGGTGGGTGTCTGGGATTTGTTATTTTTATCTTAACTGTGCTCAAGAACTGCATTAAATTTCTAGGGATTTCATGTACAAAATCTGACATGTGATACAACAGAGAAAACACTTTTACGATATATACTAGAATCACAAACACATGCGCACCCGTGAGAATCCAGAGTGCGCTCTCTGTTTTCAGAGACGAGCGGAAAACAAATAGATTGAACAGTCCGCGATATAGGCGTGCACGAGTTTCGCGGATAGCTGGACTTACGTAAGTGGTACTTACGTCGATTCGGAAGGCACCGGCTGGTCCGTCAGCTTCTCCGACACTTGGGACAGCGGATACGGCTGCACCAAGGGCAGCGTCATACCGTCTCCATCTAAATAACATTTCGTATGCCGTCTTATTCCCAGCGTGCACGATAACTGCGTCAGCCGATATTTTTCTCGCGCTCCTTCGACCGGCTCTTTATTTCATGAGTTTGTTCCGCGCGATGGGACGCGTCAAATCCCCGGTAACAGTTCGTAAATCGCGAAACTTCGCTATTACCAGTCCGGCAAACAAGACGCGGTGGATGTATCCGCGAACTCGTTCTGTAACGTAAAAAGAACGACGACGCTGGCACGACGACGAAAAATACTTTGAGTTATTACGACGCGCATTGCCGAGCACGCGCGCGTGCCCCGGGAATCGATTCCGGTGTGCTCGAATCTCGTTAATTTCCACACGGACGTTGCTCTCTGATTGCGCGCGAGTTAGCCCGCGCGAATATCGCCGTACGTATGTCCGGATCGACGCTTATAGCATGTTAAGTTGTCGAGCCTCGAGCCAATGCTAGTTTAACTTGGACATAAACGCAATTACATGTGGGACAGGCGACGTTCGTCTTGCACTCCTGCTCGGTATGAGGACGTTCCGCAGGGTCGCAATCCCTGGAGATAGCGCCAACACCATCTCTGCATTCGATCGTCCTCGTTCGCACTCCAGTGCCACAGGTCGCGGAGCACTGCATAAATAAAAAGATAGAATGCACATTTTGCGCGGAGTTGCAGCGAGATGCGATATGCGCGTCGATAAAAAGTGCAGAATAATACACGCGCGAAAAAATTGGCGAAAAAATTGCGAAACGCAGGCTGCGCCGAGAATTCGTGTGCGCGAGCATGTCGATTACACGGCTGTTTGAGAGTTTGTTGTAAGGATAATTGGCAATATAGTATTATGCAATAATGATACATGGTTTTAATGTAATAACGCATCCAAATTATGCGCCGGAATGTAACAACAATTAAATGATATTCTACGTGTGCACACGTACGAAATAAATTGCACGAAATAAACGGGAAAATATGTACAGGGATTCTCAGACGATAACGTATAAAACTTCCGTGCACGTGTAGATTAGATCAAACTGAACGAAAAAGTCCTCCGCCAATGTGCAAATAACCACGTAGCTTTCTGGATAATTAATTAAAGAGGATTGAGCCGAACGATCGTGCGTGATTATTCGCTAATCTTCATTAATTAATAACTAAAAAATTGACGTGGTTAATTGCAAAATGGTGGAGAACCTTTTTATTCAGTCTGATCTAATGTATAAGCATACAACACAAGTCGCATTTACTGTCATATTTGTCATAATTGATAATCCAAAATTTAATGTCGTTGTTAGCAAAAAGAAATTTCTTGTTCAGTTTGATCTAATATATATGTGCACGAGAGTTTTATATGTCATCGTCAGACACTCTGTATTTATCTATCTGTCTCTCTCTCTCTCTCTTTCATTTCTTTCCCCTTTTTGCCTCGTCTCTTTCTTTCTCGTGCGTAATTTTGCCGTTCCGCTTAAACCAATTTCATGTCGGTACTTTTCGCGCAACATAACGAAAAAGTGTGGAGCACGAGGCGCAGAAAGTTCATCCGACGAGAGGGATAAGGCAGAACGCTGAATTCGAGAGATTGCTTCTTCCCGGAAGTAAGGGGGCAGAGACGCAATCGAAACTCTTCGCGGTGCATTTACGAGTCGGCAACTACTTCGCATGAAACACCGACTTGCGGGCGAGCTAATGGCCCGAGCACGGTGTAATTTAAAATTCCAAATTGTCATTTTCGGTTCTCATTTCGCTAGGAAGTCTCGTTCGGCGGCGAGTTGCGCTCTTCGAATTTCTCGCTCGCGATGGGGCTCGCGAAGATAAAAACAGGCGAAGGAAGAAAGAAAGAAAAGAAAGAAGGAAGAAAGGAAGATGAGAGTGTGTCAGGACAGAGACGGATCTGACGAAAGGAATCGAAGTGAAAGAGACAAAGAAGGGAGCGTGTGAGGGAAAGAGAAAGAGAAGGGAGAATGAGGCAACGTGGAAGACAATGCGGAAGTTCGAATGTGAGACCTATCGGTCAAGACATCGAAGGTGGTAAGGTGACACGAAAAGAGAAGCAGAAACCTACTCGGCTTAGGCGCGTCGTACTTCGCCCCCTTCGCCTCCCCACGACACGGTCTTTCACCCTTCATCCTTCATCTCCCTCTGTCTGTCTTTGCTTTTCATCCTCCCTTACCCACGGCCGAGCCGTAACTCGGAAAGAGTCTCGATAGCGAGACGAAGGGGAGGGAGCGCTTTAAGGAGCCTTGTGCTTTCAGTTCAATATTTGCATGGCTCCCGGGGGCTCACAAAAGAGAGAAATCTATCAATTCCTGTCTTCTAGGGGCGCTTCTCCGCGGAGCCTTGGATGAAATCATTACCGTGCTACGCTGACGGATACGGAGCCTTTATGTATCGTTACTGCTGCTGAAGAGATAGAGGGAGAGAGAGAGAGAGAGAAAGAAAGAGAGGAGAGAGATAAAGAGAGAGAGAGAGGAGAGAGAGAGAACGTACGCCATTCTGGACTGCCGCCGGATTCACGAGAGAGCGGGGACCGGACTATTGTGTATCGATCAGGAATGAAGCGCCGTAAATCATGGTCCGCACTTTTGCGTGCACATGACTGGGAAGATTTAGCCGCTATCCCGCCCGGCGTATATTCCGTCCGCAATACGCTCATTGGTTCTGCGCGAATGAACGTAATGGGATAGCAATCCGTTGTTATGTGCGAGACAAATAGCGTACTTTGCGACGAGATTGAGACGTACGCTCGTTCTTGTACGTTTCGCATCTATCAATCGCGAAAATCACGTCGTCGAGTCAGGTGTACTTTGTAGCTACAAGTGTCCTTTGTAACAATTATTAATTTTCAATACACAGAAGTACAATGAGTATACAATGAGAATACAATGAGTAACACCTAACGTTAGATACTAAGATATTTCTATAATTCTATATTTATATTTTATATTAGAAGAAAATGCGTAAGGAATATATTGGAGAGTAGAAAAATAATGTGGTGTCAAGCTTCCCTAGTCGCACAATTTATTCCTTACACATTTATGTTATTAGAAAAAAGCTTATAATTGCGTAAATAATGAGTGAACGCGTGGAAAAGCATAGATCGAGAAAGAGGAATTTTGATTCCCTTCCTTTGCTCATGTACCGAATATTTTTTTAGATTTGTAATGTACGCGGTAAATCAATCTTCTGTATCAAATTATCCTGAAACCAAATTATTAATAACAATAAACCACACTTCCCCTTTGCAATTATCAAATTATGTATTAATTAATTCCCCCTACCATAGAAATTTATCCTATGGTCTTTGTCAGGTTGATACCAATCAGTTATTTAGTTTGTATAATATACGGTAATGTTATATCGAATCTTTTTTAATTATTAATAAGGTTCTAATTAATTTGGTAAACATTTAATTTAATTTTAATGCAGTTTTCCAGCAGTTATAGGAGTGTTATGTTAATTTTTGTGCCGCAATTGAAGAGTAAAACTATTTGGGACCCCATTCAAAATATTTCGTGTCGCTTCTCCTGCAATTACTGCGCATGAAAGAAGTGCAAATTCTGGAGCCATTTACTAAACGAAAATAGAATAGAAAATGGACAAAAAAACTATTTGATTAATTAATAATCAAGTTTGCTGCTCATAAAATGGGTAGGTTTGCCTTAGCAATATTTCTTGTATATACTTTCTAATTAAAACATTTTAATGCTAATGAGAAAAATAGCGCGGGAAATCTTTGGTGCATAATATTTATTTTCACCTTTATTTACGTCTTTTATGTGACAACTTTCATAACATCAAATGATAAATGTCCTTTTATCCATTACTCTCTTATACATATTTCCGTTCTTGTAGTTGTACTACATATTTCATCAGGTTTGACAGGTTTCAATTGTATCATTATCATCAGAATAATCTAATATGTTTCCATCACAATGAAATTTTGTACTTTTAGGCTTGTTCTTCCCCGAAGAACTCTTTGAACTATTGTACACTGGTGCAATAAGTTAGAATGAAACGAGATATACTTGTTTCACTCTAACTTATTGCACCAGTGTACACCAGCTCAGGAAGTTCTTCGTAAAAAGGACAGACCTATTAGCATATATCTCATTTTTCTTCTGTTCACTTTCATCTCTAATCTTGGTTGTCATCTCTGTCTCTGTCACGGCTTAATATTCATCATTTTATACATGTCAGAGGTGAATATGCATCATCCTGAAAAATTAAAATCCCGAAATTTAAGAAGTGGGACGACGTCCCGAGAAATTATAATTCTGGAAACTGTGAATAAGAATAATGTACCAAAATACAATTCTCCTGAGATATTGACAGCACGCCATTGTAACGAAAAGTCATAATCCCGAAAACTGAATACAGACGAGAGCGAGACGAATACTTCTTTTTTAATGAAGCTAGTAACTTTTAATGAAGCTAATAACTCATCTAATTGTCACAATTGAAGTTACATGTTCATGAAGTTACATGTTATAACAGGAACCGAAAAGACAGTATGTGGTGTGAAAGTAAATTTTATCAAGTCAACATAAAAACGCGTGCTAATGCATCCAAGAATATTCCGGGTTAAATTGTTGCAATAGTCCTCAAAGAATTGGATAATCTTGTGCATCAAATATAAGAGACATTTGACGGCACAATCTAAACAGAAAATCCAGGAAAAATGTAAGTGTGAAAGTATATAATGCTAAAGCTTTTCCTTCCTCTTTCTCGTATTATTTTCATACTTACATTTTTCCATGGATTTTTAGTTCAAGTTGTATCTCTTATATTTGAAGTACAAGTTTCTTCAATTCTTAGAACAACATTATTGCAATGGTTTAACCCGGAATACTCTCGGATGTATTAACACATTTTCATGTCGACTTGATAAAATCTACTTTTAGACCACGTATTGTTATTTCGGCTCCTGTCATAACCGATTACCGCGCAACTCCGTGAGAAGTGATCCTCAAATATAACAACTCTAGACTAATAGCTTAATAATTTCAGCAGAAAAAAAGTGTTCGTTTCGCTCTCGATTGTACAGGGACAATCTCCCGAAATATTGAAAGCATAAAGTTGTCCCACAAAGTTGTATAACTAGTTGTCGACAAGTTTATGCTTTCAGTATCTCAGGAGACATGTTGTCGCACACAAAGTTGTATGATAAGTTATTGACAACTTCATGCTTTCAATATTTCGGTAGATTGTCCTTGTACTCAGTTTTCGGGGTTGTGATTTTTCAGTACAATGGCATGCTTTCAATATTTTGGGAAGATTATATTTTAGCACATTGTCTTGGACTATTCAGTTTTTGGAATTGTGACTTTTTTGAATCGCTTTTTGGAACCCGCTTTTAGAATTTCGGTATTTGTTTCGGGATTATGTATTGCCTAACAAACCAAATAACTGATTACAATCAACCTAATCAGGATCAATTCCTAGTTGCGTAAGAGCTGCGAAAAACATGTCTCAACCTCTTGGTAATATTTGACAAACTTGTATAAATCACATTTAAACATTATTATAGAATTGTTATATATGAATTTAAAATTATTCACATTAAAATATCCAGCAACTAATTCCCATAAAGTCATGTTTCTATTTCTCAATAGAAGAAAACGTGCAATGGCCA